GTGAAATTCTACCCTGACATGTCCATCTTCCCACTTTCTCCTGGCTTAAACCACTTTGGGGAGCTCGGTGTAACATGAGCTTATCCCAGGCCCTAATGTAACACGGTAAATTTTTTTCTCCCAGACATTGATTTTAACCTACACTTGACATTTCTTACAGCAACCGAATGGAGAATGTGATAGGGAAAAGCCCTGGTGATCAGTCCATGTTTGTGAACAGATCAGCAATTACAGCCTGCTGTTCTAGGTGAAAGAGTCAGCTGTAAAGGAAAAACTTACCTGTCAACGGGAAGGTACCCAAGTGTGTGTGTATGTGTGTGTGAGCACAAATTTGCTGTCTTCCTGCCTCAGCCTCCTGGAGTGCTGGGATTATAGACATGTACAGCACTGGAGTTTTAAACCTTGAAAAACTAATTAGATATGCTTTCATTTTTGTACACTTGGATTTTTTCATTTCCTGAAAGTCAAAGCAATAAATAATTGCCACAATCATTAAGCATTAGATAGGTAGTACCTTTTGACTTTTATTATCAATGGGAACTAAATATTTATTAAAAGGAATAAGGATTCTGAAACTAAAACTACATGATAAAAAGAGAAGAATGCCACAAGAAAAGAGACAGGAGTGCCCAATTCATCATGATGTCATCAACAGTACTTAGTTAAAAACAAACCACCGTGTAAGAAATAGTTTGCTTAAAAGACCTCCCTCAGCTTCAGTTCCTCAGATGGTATCTATTTTCTGTTCAGGCATCTAGTTTTGCATGCATAGTCCAATAACATCTGCATATGAAGATAAAGCAATAATCAAATCAGGGTTTTCTCCCCTATCCAATTTGTTTCTGCATCTCCACAAACAAAAGGGATTGGCTAAAGACTGACAAGGTTCTTCATGGTTCTGAATTAATCCTCTGGGTTATGGAGAAATGCAATACTGAAGCCTATAAAAAGCACAAAGTAAATGTAAATAAGGATCTATCCCTTTATTACTTTGTGTCCTGTGATATGTCAGTTATTATCTTGATTTGTTGACCCTGTTTTCCTTCCAGGAAGGCTCACCATCTGGAAGGTTGAGAGTAGCTGAGTGAATTCATTCTATGCCCAATTCACTTTACTGAGCCCGCAGAGAAGATTGGGTAAGAGCACACATTTAGCCAGGCGTGGTGGCACACTCTGGAGGCTGAGGCAGGAGGACCGCCATGAGTTTGTGACTGGTCTGGGCATTTTTGTGAGTTCAAGGCCAGCCTGAACTCCATAGCAAACCCTGTCTCAAAACAAAACAAACAAACAAACAAAAAAAACCAAACCCAAGAAACAAAAAATCCAAAACCAAAAAGGCAGACATTTAGGAGTGATAAAGACCGTGGAGGATATCCTGACCCCACTGATTAGCAGCTGTGTGACCAGGAGGAAAGCTTTGAGATTTTAGTCTTCTCGTCTGTAAAAATGAGTAATAAATCACCTCAAAGTACTACAAGGACCGAGGGGCCAAGCATGAAAATCTTAACACAATTCTTATCCAGTGCTTTGCTAATAAATGCTTTTCTATTTCCAAAATAATGACCTTGTACATGGAGATACTGCAGTTCAGAGAGGTGAGGCGGCTTGTCCAAGGTCACAGTGGAAATGGGACCATGGAGAAATGGAAACCGAGTCATCCAACATCAATCCTATGCTTTTTTCCACCAGGCTGAGGTGCCTTCCTCTTAAGGCAGTGTGTGTCCCACAGAGGGACAAAGAAGAGAAAGCAAAGCAGCTTTGGAGGTCTCCAAACCTCCCAGTTTAGAATAAATCCCCACCCAATTACGCTTAAAATGGGGCCAGCTTTTGAAATCTCGACTGCACATTCTTTTCCCATCAAGTTCCTTGAAATTTCCCTTTAAAGCACATCTAGGAAAAGCCACTCTCATTAGCCAGGGTCTGACTTTATTTTCCTAATAAACAGACCTCTGGGCAGACAAAAGAACCTCTTATTTTTAATCAGTTCTTCAACATTTCAGCTGATTTTCTTCTATTTGGCTTGAAATTGTGATCTGGCAAAGGCCGGTCCTGCAAATTGTCCTGCTCTAAGGGAAGCCCCTTGAGGATCCTCAACTTGTTATTTTTAATCACTGTAATCTCCTTTCAAAGGAGGCCCTGGTCAGAAACAGAGCAGGCCTTTCAGGGTTTTCTAAAGCACAATTATTGCAGGAGTGGGGGGAGGGGTGGGGGAAGAGGGAGGGTGGAGAGGTGATGGGAGAGAAAAGGAAGTCCATATAGTACCAGCGACTTGGAAAAGGGTGCATAAGTCTCCACCGGACCAGGCTGTGAGGGGAGAAAGCCCATGATTTAATTTTTAAAAGGAGTGGCCACTTTATTCCGGTTGAGAATACCAAAAGGCTACCACTTGCATGGGGGGCAGAGAGAGCAGAAGCTACTGGTGATGGGCTGAATGGGAAGGACAAAGATTTGAGGCAGGAAAAGAAGCCACTGGTTCCAAGGATTGTGAGGGGTCTTCACTCAGGAAAGAACAGAAAGCACACGGGACACCAGGGGGACGTTAACCGCCACAAGCCTAAGTCTGCACCAGGCTGAGTCATTAGATTTGCTTTTGTCGTATTATTCTACGAAAGTATAAACCAACAGAAAATGTCACAACCTAGGCCAGCCCCCTTGCTTCCTAACTTTGAGTGGTGGAGCCAGGTTTGTTAATCACAGGGTATTTATTCAGGAGACCTTGGCACGGCTCCTTTAAGGTCTTTTCCTTCAAAATCTGTGAAGGAAAAAAAGAGCTAAAAAAAAGAGCAGAAGGATGGCCCAGCAAGCGAGCGAGTGGTGCCTGAGCCCAAGGAGAGCCTAAAGGTTATGCTCCAAGTCCAAGGCCCTCCCCTCCTGCCCCAGTTCCCTTCCAAGGGTCAGTACTAGGACTTCTCTGGCCATGTGATTATAGGACGGGTCCCCCACTCCTCCACCCAACCTAGCGCCCCAGTGCTCCCCATGCCCAGCCAAATGCAAAGGACTAGTGTGGAAGGAGCCCCAGAGAAGCCTAAATCACACAGACTCTTCCAGTGTGTCAATATGAACAGTCCTAGGCAAGGCTTCTAGAACAGAGACATCAATGTATCATTCATTCATTCATTTAATTAATTCATAAGGCCCCAGAGAATGGCCATTCACTGGTAGATTGGACTAGAGCCCTAAGGAAACCTACTGTTAAATACACACACACACACATGCACTCACACACCAAAATCTAACGAGGCATCAATCTTTCCCTTATCAAACCAACAAAGGGTTCATGTCCAACTCTAAAGTGTCCCCGGACCTGTTGTCGCTCAGGCACATTTTCCTAAACTCATTTACTCCCTGTGCTATCCATAGAGGTTGAGTAAACAGCTATTTTTACAGCTGGAAAGTTAATTGTACAGAAATTAAATGACTTGTACAAGGTCACACAGCTATAAGCCCCTTTCTGCCCAGAGCCAGCTTCTCCACGGGCCGCAGGCCCTCCTGGTGGGCTAGGCCGGGAAGTTACCCCTGCTTCCCGTCCGTCCACGTGGACGACTGGCCGTGTCCTGCCTCACTGGGCAGCAGGCCCGCGCATCTGCAGGACTCTCTCCCTTGCCACGCCAGCTCGCGCAGTCCCTCCCCGGCGGGGCGCGGCGAGGTGTTCTCCGCCCCACATCTTTCCACTCGGAGGACCAAGGATCCTGCAGAAGAGAAGTGCAGGGACAAGGCCGCTCCAGGTGGAGTTCGTGTGCCAGCCCTGGCGTTCTGAACAGGGCGGCCCGGACACCACCCCAAACTTTCTTCCGCGTCGCTGTCACCGCGGGCTCCTGGGACTCTGGGGAGCCGGGAGGTGGGGATGGAAGGGCGGCGGCCGGGGCCCCGTTTGTCCCCCACCCCGGTACCCAATGATCCAATTTTCCCTGCTCCGTACAAGAGCTGGCTTATGAAGGAGTGTGCAGGGGGACACGCGCCCTGGCAGGACCGCAGGTGAGGTCAAGCGGGCTCCCTTCCCTGCCTGGTGTCCTGTGTCCCAAGCGGACAGCGGCGCCTGCTGCCCGGGAAGGGGAGGGAGGCAGGGAGGCGAGCGGTGAGGACCGAGTCCCGGCCCTCAGATCAGTGCGAGTCCAGCCGCCTGGAGTGTCCAGGAGGTGCCCACCCACTTCGACCTCTTCTGCGCTCCGGGATCTCGGCTTCCTACAGAGCCGCGAAAGTGCGACATCCCGGCGCTTGGAGCCCAGGGCTGCCGGAGCCGAGGTCCCACAGCCTCGGGGAGCAGGCCTCGAGACTGGGCTTCCCTTTCGGTCTTTCTTGGACTTCCTCTCCCGTTGGGAGCTACCTAGGGCTCTTTGGGGATTCGAGTCCCCCTGGGGACCGGTCCTGGAAATCCAAGATCCTCTCCCTGGCCTGAGATCAGAACAGCATAATTGGGCGGGGGGTTGTTTTGTTTTATTTTTTTTCCAAAGAACCCTACCGAAGAGCGTCAGGCTCTTGCCCCGACTCTCTGCGCCCCGGGACCGGTTCGGGAGAAGCCGGGGTGACCACCCCGCTCACGGCCAGTCTTGAGAGAAGCTGGGCCCCCTGCTTCAGGGCTGGAAGCGGGAAAGCTGCCTTGCCTGGACCCCAATGAGAAGAGCCCGGGTCCCCTCCTCTCCAGAGAACGATCTGGAGGTAGCGGCTCTCCTTCTCCACTGCCGACGGTCGAGGTGGCAGCAGGCTGCTTCCCAGCCTGGCGGGAGTGACGCGTGGCTCCGCCGCAGCCTCCGCCTCGCACCTTGGGTCCGAGGTCCGGGCCGCTTCGCCTGGCTGCGGGCCCCGCGACGGCTCGGGACGCTGGCTGGCGTTGCGCGCGGTGCTGGAAGCTAAAGGAGCGGAGCGGAGCCAGGTCCAGAGGACCCTGGCGGGGCTGCGCCGGCACCGTGCGCCCAGGGGCTGCGCGCCCTCCTCCGGCACCGCGCGGTCGGCGCCCTCCGGAGTCAGCTCCCGTGCGCCCCACGCCAGCCGGGGCCACTTACCGCGGTAGCTGCTTCCCGGCTTGTAGAAGTCGGGGTCCCCCTCCACGCGGAGGCTGAACTCGGTGTAGCCCTCGCGCCGCGTGCCCTGGGCGCGCAAGATGCGGCTGCAGTAGCCCTCCGACTTGGCCACTTTGTCCAGGGTCTCGTCGGAGAAGGCCAGCGCCACGGCGAGGGGCAGCGCCAGGGCCAGCAGCGCCTGACTCCAGGGCGCCGGGGACAGCCTCATCCTCGCGGGCCCCCAACTTTGAGATGCTGTCGCCGGCCCTCGCCCAGCGACTCCTGCCCGAAGTGGTCCGGGCAGAGGCGAGACCTGGAGGAGCCCCTGGCGCGGAGAGGGAGCTCGGAGCCAGTGCCGCCTCGGTTTGGCGGCCGCCGAGCTGCGCTGCGCTGAGCCCAGGCGAGCAGCGCGCGGAGGGGAGGGCGGCGAAGGCGCGGGAGGAGGGAGGGCTGGGTTTGCACAGCTCCCCAGCGCTGCGCTGTTTTGTTTCCGAGCTGGCGATTAGCGGCGCGGCGGTGTTTATTTTGCGACGCTGGATTCCCAGGGTCTGGCGGGGATCGTAGGATAGGGGGACACTACGGGGGCTCTGTCTCACCACCAAGGAAGCTGCTGTCCGAACCCTCGCCTACACCCTGGACGCTGTGGAGCCCCGTGCTGGAGGAGGGAAAGCCTGCCGACTAACTTCTGCTGCACACCTACTCTGCGCGCGCGCAGTTTGCTGGAGGTGCCTGAGCACCGTCTCCACGCTGACCGCACGCAGAAGAGGCTCACGACTCTCGCTCATTCCGTAGACGCCCAGGCAGAGGCAGGCAGGGTTACACTGCTCTTCACCTGGCCGTGGTGGGACAGGTCCCGCAGAACGGTGGGAAAGGTGCCAAAGAAGTTACCCCCGGGGCCCAGTAGACACCGCGCCTAGGGCGGCAGGACTTCTGAAGATCTAGGAAAATGTTTTATTTAAAGCAGAGGGCGGTGGGGGGAGCGGGGTAGGGAGCACCTAGGGTGAACAAAATGTTTTGCAATATTAATATTAATATATTCGCCCTTATACTCGCACAGTCAGAAAACGTGGTGTTTAATATAGTCCTGAGAAGGAAAAAGCCCACTAAGACAAAAGTGCTCAAGGCCCGCGAAAGTGCTCACACAGTCCTGGAAAGGAGTTTTGCAAGGGTCAAACAAGAGCATGTTTTCTTGGTCAGACTTCAGTTCTGGATCTCCGTATCTGGGGACAGATTTGGGAGAGGTGCTGAGCCTGGGGCTTACTGGGCAAAGCCTTAGCTTAGGCACAAAGTTGAAGGCTGGAAGAGAGGATATCCCAAGCGGGAATCTCTCCTCCACCGCCTCCCCCGAAAGGACCCTAATCTAGCCTCGGTAGTGGCATTAGCCCATTGTGAGACTGGGCACCCACTGTGGTTTCTCTGGGAGCAGCAGGGGTGGGAGTTGGTGCTAACACACCCTTCCCGGGGGTGGTGCCCCAGCACTCACTGAAAGGCCTCACTGAAAACCCTTGGCTTGCTCTGCTCTCCCGGGCTCCTCTACCCTCGGGACCCCTTCAGCCACTGCCACCCATCATTTCCTACACACACCGCTCTCCAGGTCTCTGATTGCGGCTTTGCTTTCCCTTTGTCCACCTTCCCAGGCCTTCAACATGCCCTGAGTGCAGTCTCTGTAGGCAAGCAATCTCCTCTGGCCCGTCTTCACTCAGCTGGCTCAAAGCTCATGCCTGGCGTCATGGTGCACAGTCCCATTCATCCACAAGCTTCTGTTTGTTGCATGTGGATTTGGAGCCAGGTTCTGTACTGAGTAATGGGCATAAAAGGAAACACAAATTCATTTATTTATTCTTTCATTGATTCATTGATGCATTCATTATTCATTCATTCATGCTAAACATTCTTTGTGTACTCCGTGCTGAGATACAAGACAGACAAGCTGTTTGCCTTACAGTCCTATGGCAGAGGCAAATATTAAATGCACAGTTATGAGTTTTTCCAAATTGTAATCGTGGCATATGCTACAAAGGAAACGAAATGGTTCAAGAAAGAAAGTATCTCAGAGAGTAGGAAATTACAGAGATAAATAAAATATAGGCTTTGTCTTCATGGAGCTTACTGTATGTATGATAGCTCAAAAAATATGCTTTCAAACAGTTTCGTTTGTGCCAACATGTTCAGATGCAAACTGCAGGTAGGCAGGCCTGGAATATGCAGGCATGTAGTAATATTTATTGTTGTTGTAGTACAAGAAATTGAACCCAGGGCTTTTCCACTGAGCTACATGCCCAGCCCTTTTTTATTGTTTTATTTATTTATTTTTTCTGTGTCTTTTTTGAGACAGGATTTTGCTATGCAGTTCAGGCTGGCCTCAAACTCACTTTGTAGCCCAGGGTGCCTTCAAACTCAAGCAATCCTCCTGTTTCAGCCTCCCAAGTGGTGGGACCATAGGTGTACAACATAACTCCCAGCTTATTATTATTATTATTATTATTATTATTATTATTATTTTGAGACACAGTCTAAGTTGTCCAGGCTGGGTTTGAACTTGTGATCTTCCTGCCTCAGCCTGCTAGAATGTTGGGATTACATGTGTGTATCCCCATGCCTAGCTGTATTAATCTTTTGCTGCACATTGACGAGAAAAACCATCTGAGGACTGTCACCATCCCTTCCCCAGATTAGGAACCTGTAAATTACCTGTCTGGATCATGTACCATGCCAGGAATGGAAAGAGCTAGGACTTATAACAGGCCTTGCTAGCGCCAAAATGGGGCACTTACCTTTATCATTACCCAGTGCTGGCCCCATCATCTGGCCATGACATCAGGCTCTAAACTGCCCCCCCCAAGCTACAGTCCCACCCTGTGAACCAGAACTGCCTAATCCAGCTTGGCTGTCACTTCCAAACCCCTCCCTCACCCCACACATCACCAGTGTCAGTCTCACCTGCCGCCCACCCCTTGAATCTGTCTGCTTCTCCTCTCACTGCCACTCACCCCACCAAGCTGTCATCCTTGTTCAGTTCTAATGGCTTGCCCCCTCTACTCCTCCATCTGTCCTTGGCCTGGAGGCCAGAGTGACCTTCTTTAAAAGGCAAATTTGAATGTCAATCCTGGGGTTAAGACCCTTTAGCAGTGTCTTTGGAGCTCTCAGGACAAAGACAGAATCTTTCAAGTGGCCTCCAAGGTCCTGCTTGAGGCCAGACAGCTTTTTTCTCCTGGGTTCCAGCCACCCACACTGCCCTTCAGCTTGGGGAAGTTTTTGTTTGTTTGTTTGTTTGTTATTTTTTTTGTTTTTCAGAAAGCACCTTGCTATGAAGTCCAGGCTGGCCTTGAATTCACTATGTGGCCCAGGCTGGCCTCAAACTTTGGGCAATCCTCCTGTCTGAGCCTCCCCAGTGCTGGGATTACAGGTATACCTGGTCAGCTTGGAGAACTATTTCCTGTACTCCTGTATTGCCTGGGATCCTGAACTGCTCCCTGGTCCCTCCTGACCCTCACTGTCCATTAGCTGACATCTATACATTCTTCAGATCTCAGTGCAATGCTGATTGCTCAGAGTAGTCCTTCTGGTTTCCCAGGATAAACCCTGCCCTTAATGTTACTGGGAAACTCAGTACCTCTTCTTTTAATAGTCTCAAATTGATTCTTACACATGCACGTGTAAGCCATACCTGGCTCAGAACTAGGGATCTGCACATATTTGTTCTCTGAATACAAGATCTTTAACAGTTCTGCCTCCAGTGTTGCCTAGCTCAGCCCAAGTTTTCAAGGTGGCCTTCAAGGCCCTCCACATGGCTTGGTCTCTTTGATCTATCTGATCAGGGGTCCCAGTTGAGTTCCCAATGTTCCTGGCTGATTCCCCATGTCCTCTGCTTTGGGTATTGTCTCAGCACTTTTCCTGTTGCCTGGAACGCCTGTCCTCCTCCCACCTGTTTAAATTCTCCTCCCTGGACTTCAGTAGAATTCACGAAACCCGCAAGGAGAAAAAGTGTCTTATTTTGACGATTGTGATCCACCAGCTCATTATGGACGCTTTCATGTGTCTATGTCTCATCTCCTAGCAATGAATCTAGTTTATTTTCTGTTTAATTTCCTGCTCAAATGCTTTTTTCTTTTGTGAAATATACCGGACTTGAAGAAATTTCTTTCCAGTTTTTTAGCCTGAGGCAGAGCTGATGTTAGTTGCTAGGGTGTTGCTAGGGAAAGTCATTTAGCCAAGGCAGATAATTAACTTTATCAGTGTGGGTGGCTAGGTCACTGGGGAGAAGACCTGGGGGCCTCTAACCCCATCCTTTGATTAGTAGGAGGTAAGATCAGCCATTTGTTTTTGTTTTGCTTCTCCTATTTTTCCAAGTATATCATTAAAACATGAGTATCAGATATTTGCCTCAAATGAAGTTTACAAACCCTACCGCATACTTATCACATCTGCACTTTGAACAAACTCCTATAAAGTTGCAGGAGCTACTGTCCCTGGAGCTGGTAATTCACACTTGAAGTGCATAGGCTCCTGCCTGGCTCTCCTGGTTTCTGGCCATAGAAGTCAGCCTTCTCTCACAGGTTGTGGGAAGTCACAGGATTTGTCTAAACTGCTTATGTGCAAAATTAAGAAAAGTCATACCCATCTTGCGTGCCTCCAGGGATTTTGAGAAAGGAATACTGTAGTTGACATACTTATTATATACTTTACACACACACACACACAAAAAGTTATTATTTTTACTACTATTTATTTAGGACAATAATCCAAAAAATTATGTCTTTATTTCTGCAACTCAGAAAATTAAATTAAAAGTTTTATGGGAAGAGATTTCTAGGGAAAAAAAGGAAATTGACAGTGAAAGAAGTTGCATTGTAATCTGTCTTGAAGAATAGCCCTGAAGCTCCCTGTAAGCAAACTAGCAAGTTCGGAGACTAAGGTCTGGAAGATGAATATAGAGAGGGACAAAAAACCTTCTAAAAGCAAAAGACAATAATTATTTTAAGAATTATTTCTTTAGCACCTGTTGTTCTAGGCATTGAGTAAACCCAGTGTAATTGCATTACTTTTGGGGGTCTGGTGCTGATTGCATCCCTCTGACATTTCTAACCAATATATGAGCCACCTGGTCTTTCTAGTTCAAGGGTGAGGAAGCTATGGCATGCGTCCGCAGCCTGCTGTTTGTTATCACTGAAAGCTCTGAAAGGCTCACCACCACTGCTAGTCCTTTAATCTCTGTCACTTTTTCATTTCCCTCAGCTCTTGGGAGTATTTACCTGTTGCTCATTGCCAGATCAGCATTCTAGAATACCATTCAAGAGTCCCTCTTACTTTAAAACTCACAGCATCCAATCTGTACTCCCTTGTCCTATTGCCATCACGCCTAGTGCCTAGGTTACCTCCCTCCCCATCCTCCTGCAAACAGCTC